TTCCAGGTTAGTCTCAACTATATATATAGTGAGAACCTGTCTCAAAAAAAAGGGGCTGGAGTTGTAATTCACTGTGAAGGCCCTGGGTTCAATTCCTAGTACCAGAAAAACCCTAAAACAACACACACACACACACACACACACAACCTGGGTGTTGCAGTAATAGAAAAGATAAGGTTCCTACTCTTGAGAGACTCCCAAACCAGGGCTGAGATTGGCCCCTGAACACACAATGACCCTTCACACAATATGTCTGGAACCCCAGAGACCATCCCAGGACTCGGTGTTGGCCTGAAGACCCCTGGGTGGGGGTGGGGGGTTCTGTCCACCCACTGGAGTCAAAGAAAAGCTATGGCCCCTTCCTGCCCAGAGACAGCTGAGCCCCAGCATCTCTGGCTTCCATCAGATAGGCCTGTAGGGCTTTCAATCCCACCCAGACCCTACTCTGGTATGGGAAACACTTAGGCCTGCCCTTCCCCACCCAGTAGAGCACGGGCCATCAAGACTCTGGAGTGACACTGGCCTGTTCTCATAGGAGGGCAGCAGATCAGGTGTGGGGCACAGGGGCCAAAGCAGCTGGGCTGGGCCAGGAACAGAGTGGCTCCTCTTTGCGTCTGGTGGGCTCCGGCCCTCCGCCTCCTCCTTTCTACGCACAGTGCATGGGCACCCATGGTGTGAACTGTGTAGCCACAGGCTTCTGGTGGGGCTGAAGATTCAGAAAGAACAACTTATGGCTTCATTGCTGGGAAGGATGTCAGGGTATCTGGAAAGGGGTTGACCAGCAGGTCCTTCATCTTGGGCAAGAGGAAAGACAAAGGACAGGTTTTGCAGGGAACCAGGAAGGAGCCCCCCCCACCCCACTGTCCTCCAGGGCACTGGGCAATTAATTCTCTGTGACTCCAGATGTTCAGCAGCTGTCTTGGCCGTTTCCGCCCCTTCTCCTGACCCTGTATCCGCCAGGAAGTGTCCCCTCCTGTCCTTGGTCTTCGAACTACCCCCACCTTCCCTGTACCCTATTTCCTGAGCAGAAGCATTTGTGCAGACTCAGCTCCCCTCCTGCTGGGCCGCTCCAGCTTTCCCAAGGCCAGGGCACTGCTCCCTGAGGCCAGGACTGCTGTGGTCACTTGTACTGTACTGGGCACACTCTGCCAGGGGCTCTGATCCTAGCTCCAGCCCCCCTGGCCTCTGGGACTGGTTTTCTCTCTCTCCTTTCCTTCCTTCTCCAAGGTTGGCTCTGCCGGCTCAGCAGCATAAATCAAGGGCCTCCAGGGAGGCAAACAGAACTGGCCAGGGAGGAAGCATTGGTTCAGTGGGGGAGGGGGGAGGTCCAGGACTAGCAGGCCCCATGGGGGTGGGGTAGATGCTCAGATATCTGTCTGGAGGGGGAAGAGAGGGATTCCTCTAAGAGCTGATAAGCAGGGACACAGAGTCCCCCCAGCACTGTTGTCCTTCCCTGAGCAGAGGGGGTGGGGCAGGAGAGGTCACTGCTGCTGCAGCTGGTCCAATCTGGGAGGCTCTTTGGAGAGGGGACAGCTCCCTTCCTGTCACATGCTTTCCTGTCTCTCCAGAGCTGGTGGTTCTGGGGCACTCAGGCTTGTGGGCTGGTGGGGTCAAGAGCCAGGCCAGACACAGGCTAAGGCATGGAGCCCCTGGGGTATATGGCTCCAGCCCGCTGACCTCTGCCCCCCACAGAATCCGGTCTCCTTTTCTTCTTTTGGTGCAGGGGCAGGCTAAGGGCAGGTGGGCCTGGCTGAAGACTCCATTTTGGAACACATGAGAGCAGAGCAGGCTGTGAGACTGCTCCCAGGAAGACAAGGCCGCTCTAAGTGGGAGCTTTCCCTGAGGAATCAAAACAAAATGTAGCACTTCCCACCAACTGTGTGGACAGTCTTCTAGCACATCTTTGTGGGGCCAAAATCAGGAATGGCAGAGGAGGATCCCTCCCCACCCACTGTCTGGACTTGGGCTGAGGAGTCAGGGACTTGGACCCTTCACTCAGCACCTCTGCTTTGTGCTCAGGATTGCTCCTACGGTCACAAAAAAATGTGCCTGGCACCTTTGGGTCCATACCCCCATCCATAGCATGTCTGAGGTTCCCAGAAGGTCCGTTAAGGTTTCCCCCTTCACCACTTGTGTTAGTCGGCTTCCTGTCACTGACAAAAACCTGAGAAATTCAACTTAGAGGAGGAAAGGTTTATTTTGGCTCATAGTTTCAGAAGTTTCAGTACATGGGGGGCTGGCTCTATTGCTTCAGGCCTGTGGCCAGGCAGAAACATCCTGGTATAAGAGTATGGAGGAGGAAAGCTGCTCACCTCACGGCAGCCAGGAAGCAGACAGAAAGCAACAAAGCCAGAGAGGAGGGAACTAGAGGCAAGACATAGTCACCACAGTCATGCCCCTTCCACAACCCACCCTTCAACTAGTCCCCACCTCCTAACAATGCCACTGAATTATGAAATTAAATTGTTATGATCCAATCACTTTGCAAAAGCTCCATCTCTGAATACATAGTCTTTTGGGGATGTTTTAGAGCTAAATCATAACTACTTAACCACAGTGGTCTCTTTTTCCCCACATGGCCAAAGGTGAACATTTCTGGAGGAAATGCAGGAACCACAATTCCCCATGAGACAACTCTCCCTACCCCTCAGCCCCAGGTGACACCCTGTAAGCTCCCTCCCAGGCTGCCCTGCCGCCAATCAGGGACTTGACTTGAGAAATGCACCTGGGGACCCCAAGACACCTTCTTATTCTTCAGAACCTGACCAGTGAGTACAACAGCCCAGTCTGGGATAAAAATTGGGTAATCAGTGGAATCTGGATCTCAGCTACTTGGGTCTGCAAACCTGGGGTAAGACTGGTAGACTTGGCAGAACAACAAATCTAAAAATAGGACACTCCTCTAAACTTGAATTTCAGATAAATAATTTTAAAATACAGGGCTAGGGATGTAGCTCAGTGGCAGAGCATCTGTCTCTTGTGCTGTAGGCCCTGGATTTGAACCCAGCAGCACAAAAACAAAACAAATGAAAAAACTGTTTAAAATACTGTACAGCATACCTTGACTTATGATGGTGGTGTGTTCTGATAAGCCCGTCATGAGTTGCAAATGTTATAAGTAAAAAATACATTCAATATCTCTAACCTATAGATCATTAGACTACCTTAAACCTTCTCAGGTTTAACACTTACACTTACATCAGGTGACAGCTGGGTAAAGCCACCTAACACAAAGCCTATTCTGGTGAGTAGAGTTGACTCGCTTATGTAATTCACTGAATGCTGAACTGAAAGTAAAAGCAGAATGGTCGCATAGGCACACTTCCACACTATGGTGAAGTGGGGATTATCTGTTTGTGTGTCCCGTGCAGTATTTGGGACATACTCACAATCAAAAAGTATTTGCTAAACTGGGCATGGTGACACACGCCTATAATCCCAGCACCCAGGAGGCTGAGGCAGGAGGATTGCTGTGAGTTTGAGACCAGCCTGAGTTCCAGAGCAGTCTGAACTACATAGTGAGACCGTCTCAAAAAACCAAAAAAAAAAAAAAAAGTATTTGCAGTTTATCTGAAACCCAACTTTAACTGGGTATTCTGTATTTTACCCGAATCACCAGATGTGGGGGGAAGTCACCCCCAAATCACTTTGTCAACTGACAAATTGACCCCTGTGTCCTGTCCACCCATCCTCAGCTGATTCCAAAGCTGGTGGAGACTACAGTCTTGGGCTAGGCAGTATATCAGCATGGAACTGGAGCAAGAAAGCAGAAAGGGGTTACTGGGACCTGGAAACCTCCTTTCCCCAAAGTCTAAGGTCTCTCAGGAAGGCCTGGCCGTAGGATAAGGGGGTCCAGCTGGGTTTTCTTAGTTTTAGTATTTGTTTCAATTCTGAGGAACTGTTAAATGAGTCCCATTAGTAGGGCCCTTCACCGCCCCCTACCATGACCTCTAACTCTACCCCACCCCTTTTTATGGTACTGGGGATTAAAACCAGGGTCTTACACTTGTCCCTGAACTACATCCCCATACCTTTTGCAAGAAAAAAAATGAGATAAGGACTCACTGAATTGCCCAGGATGGACTTGAACTTGCCATCCTCCTGTGTCAAGTAGGTGGGATTGGGCACTCAAACCACACCCTGCCTTATCTCTGCCCTCTCAGCCCTCAGGTGTGCTGGTTCTCTCCAGCGCATGAGAAAGAGGAACCCACTAGAGCCCTCTGAAAAAGAGGAAGGTACAGTGTGTGTGGTGGCTTGAGGAGAGGGGACCCAACCAAGGGCTGAAAAAGAGGAACCCCAGTCAGCACGACCCACCTGGATAAGGTCACTGCTGCTGCTGGCACCAGTGAAAAGAGGATCCAGAAAAGGTGAGGGAGGGGGGTTTCCAAACTGTCCTGGCCCCATTTCCTGAGAAGTGGAGTGGCAGGAGCTGAGCTGCAGGCCATGAACACACTGCCCTCTCATTCCAGCAGCAGCAGCACTATTCACAAACCACTGGACCCAAGATGGTACCCAGCACAAGCTTGGCTCAGGCACTGGAAATATGACTATCTCCCTAGCTAGATCCCAGCACCTGCCAGGGAGAGCCCAAGGATGTCCCTTTCTGGCCTCTGGAACTCATCTTCAGGTAAGAGGGAGGTGGGAGTGGCTCAAGGCTTGGGGAAAGGTGTGGCTGCCATGGAGGCCCAAGTCACTTGTCCTTGGGCAGGGCAAACTTGAGGACCACCGTCCCCTGGAACTCTTTGTGCACCCATCACCCTCGTGTCATCTCTTTCCCCAGCAACAATGACTCACAAAGCTGGGTGGTGCCAGACAGATGCAGCCTCCCCCTGGCTCTGAAAGCCAGGTCACAAAGGCTATACAGAAGAGGCATGCCCCCAAGAAATCCCTGTGTAGCACTCAACCCTGCAGCTGGGCAAAGCCTGGGCCTCCAGCTGTCCCACAGTGCCCTGACTGGGCCAGATGACCAGTGCAGCAGAGCACAAGGCCTCAGTGTGCCCATGTGTGTCATCTGTTTTGTGAAGGCATTGGTGCACGTGTTCAAGATCTACCTGACAGCCAACTATACCTACAACTTCCGCAGTTGGCCTGTGGACTTCCGCTGGGATGATGTGAGCTCTGCTGGTGGGAGCAGCCACAGTCATCGGGCGCTGACATGCACAGCAGCTGCTGCAGGTGTATGGCTGCTGCGGGACTCAGCACTGGGAAGTGATGCACCGGGGAGGCCACTGCGCCGGGCTCGCAGCCAGGCACAATGCCTCCTGCAGCAGATCCGCGAGCTGCCTAGCCAGCTTACTAGTTATGCCCTGGCCCACTCACTAGGCCGCTGGCTCGTGTACCCGGGCTCCATGTTCCTGATGTCCCGAGCACTGCTGCCACTACTGCAGCAGGGCCAAGAGCGCCTTGTGGAGCACTACCACGGCCGGCGTGCCAAGCTGGTGGCCTGTGATGGCAATGAGATTGACACCATGTTCATGGATCGCCGCCAGAAGCCTGGCAGCCACGGCCGTGGCCTGCACCTGGTCGTCTGCTGTGAAGGCAACGCTGGCTTCTATGAGATGGGCTGCCTGTCTGCACCACTCGAAGCTGGCTACTCAGTGCTGGGCTGGAACCACCCGGGTTTTGGGGGCAGCACGGGTGCTCCATTCCCACAGCATGATGCCAATGCCATGGATGTAGTGGTCAAGTATGCCCTGCACCGTCTGCAGTTCCCACCTGAACACGTGGTAGTTTATGGCTGGTCTGTTGGAGGCTTCACTGCGACCTGGGCTACAATGACTTACCCAGAGCTGGGTGCACTGGTGCTGGATGCCACCTTTGATGACCTTGTGCCACTAGCACTGAAGGTGATGCCCCAAACTTGGAAAGGACTGGTGGTGCGCACTGTGCGGCAGCATTTCAATCTCAATGTCGGTGAGCAGCTGTGCTGCTATCCTGGACCAGTGCTACTGCTCCGGCGCACCCAGGATGATGTGGTCAGTACCTCGAACCACCTGCCTACCCTGCCACCTGGAGACGTGGAGGGTAACCGCGGCAATGAACTGCTGTTGTGCCTGTTGCAACACCGCTACCCGGCCTTGATGGCACGCGAGGGCCGTGTTGTTGTGTCCCGTTGGCTGCGCTCCAGCAGCCTGGCACAGGAGGCAGCCTTCTACACACACTACCATGTGGATGATGAGTGGTGCCTTGCGACGCTGCACTCTTACTGTGAGCGCTGCCAGGAAGAGCAGGCCTGGGGGCCACACGGGCCCACCTTCCCCTGGCTTGTGGGCCAGGGCCTGAGCCCACGGCGGCAACGCCAGCTTGCTCTGTTCCTGGCACGCAAGCACCTCAAGAATGTGGAAGCAACTCACTGCAGTCCACTGGAGCCTGAAGATTTCCAGTTGCCCTGGAGGTTGTAGCCTGGGCTGGTGAGGCTCCTGCTGTGGGTACTCCACACCTTCCCAGCCTAGGGTTTATTCCTGTCCCCACAACTTCCCACCAGAAAAGATAGTCCTGCCCAGTATTCTGACCTGGTTGTCTGTGGAGGGTAGGCAGTATATCTGGACCATGGTCATTCTTCACAAGGGCATTCAGATCTTCCTCTGGTCTTCCCTGCTCCTACCTTCTTTTCTTTCTTTTCCTCCTGCAAATACTTTTGGACACCTGTGCCCAGTTTCCAAATGGAATGCAAAGATGAACTTGGCCCAGTTTATGGTAATACTGTATGATGAGTGGTTGATCACTGCAAAAGGCTGCTGGGAATGGGCTGTGGGTCCACAGGGAGGCGCCCTTCACCCAGCCTGGTTTCCAGGCAAAGAAGAGGTTGCCAGCCTTGTTCAAGTGTACAAGTTGTCCCCAGCTGTGAAAAGACATTAGAACCCTAGCATCATAACATAGGTCTAGGCAGTTGGACATTTCCAGCTGCTCTCCAGAGTCCATATCCACATTCAACAGAGAGGGCAGTTTAAAAACTATAGACTTGGAGTAACCGTGTATAGGGTAGAACAGGCTTAGAGACACCTACACTGACCACTCACTATTGGGCATCCTCTTGGGCCACACCTAGGCTTGTTCATGGCTCAGAAATACAACACAGAATGAGGCCATGCTCCTGCTCACCATTTGTAATACAGTCACTTCAGGAAGCCTGGATCATTCTTTGTCTGTCCTTGTTACCTACAACTCCTTTGGACAGGGGGCTAGGCAGGTTGGGGTGAGCAAGTAGGCAAGTAGGGAAGAAATATTGGGCACCCAGAGCAGGATACAGATATGGTGGTAAAACATTCAAGCCTGTGCAAGAGTATCTGGAAGACATGTGGGCAAGAGAGGAGCCAAGGAGAGGGACATATGAGCAGCCTCCATGTCTTGGAACTAGCAGCTGCAGTGCTCTGGCTGAGGGGGTAGTGCAATATAGGAAGATCAGATCTGAAAGGGTATGAATACCACTTAAGGATCTTCTTCCAGGAACAAGTAGGGGCCAAAGAATGGAAGCTGTGGGACTTCTTTTAGAGGCAGAATGTCTAGTGGTCACATCTCTCTTGTTTGAAGTCAAGTAGGCTCTCTTGTTCCAGGGTCTTCTAGATTCTTGGTAGCTGAGTGACCCTGAGGAAGTTACTTTAGTTTCAGTCTTCCCATCTGTAAAATGAAAAGGCGACAGTGCTAGGACTTATTAGGTGTTGTGAAAAGGAAGTGAGAAAACACCGAGTTGCACGCACAAAGCTGGGGAGAGGGTGCACGAGAGGACTCACGGCTATGTACACGCCCAAGCAAATTCCGAAGGCTAAACTCGGCGCACAGCCCTGCGCCCTGGGCGGACACACGCTTGGATTAGGGATTCACGGACCACCCGGAGGGCAGCGGCGCCTGCAGGGCAAGAGGACGAATCGCGATCTCATCTTTTTCTGTATAACGCCATTAAAAAATAAATAAATAAATAAAAGTAAACAAAATACAAGAACTGAAAGTCTACAGGAGTTTGGCTAGGGAGAGGGTGACCACCAAAGTCAGAGGTCGAGACTTGGAGGTGAGTTTAGGGTTCTGAGTCTGTACCGCTGAGGCGCGCGGCAGAAGTGCTGGTGTGATGCGGTACACACATCCAAGAGGCTCGTGGCCCCCGGCCCCGGCTTCCGTAGTGTCAGTCGGACGTTCCTCCCATTTCCCACTTCCCCGGGGTTCCGGCTAGTCCGGCCTTTCTACCTGAGCTTCGTGCTGGTAGAGCCAGCCTGGGAGGTGGACCTCAGGCTCCGCTTCCGGTTTCGCCCGCAGCATCGTCCTATCAGGTTGGAATAGAAAAGGCGAGCCGTGGCCAAAGAACGCTCTCATTGGACATCACTCATGAAGGCGGGACGGAGGCGGAGCACGAGTTGAAGAGGAAGTGGGCTGGCGCGCCGCTGTTTACGTAATACTGCGGCGGCCGGACAGTTCCGCTGGCTCGTGTGTACTCTACGGGCCTCTTCGGTTGCCGCTTGTTTGGTTAGTGTACCTCACTCAAGCTCATCTCTGTCGTCGGCTGCGGCCGGGCCGCCGACTGAACATGGACACCACCGGCCAAGGTACCCGTCGAGCCTGGCGCCTCTGCCGCAGATGGGCTGGGCCGTCCCGCGCTGTGCCCCTCCCGGGAGTAGCGTCCCAACCCCTCAGCCTCTGCCCGCCCGCTCCGGGATCCCTCTTTGGCTCGCAAACCCTGAACCTCGAGACTCATGATGGCCCTATCGTGCGTCTTTACCCCCTCTCTAGAGGACCTTTCGGCCTCCCCTGGGGCCACTCCGAGGTCCTATTTCCCCCAGGGTTCTCTTGTGCCTAGAGTTGGGCGTTTTCTCACTTCAGGCAACTCTCATTATGTCGTTGTCTCTTGTCCGACCTTTGATAGCTCTGTCGCCCCTCCAGTCCTTCGAGGGCCGTCGTGGACACCTATGTGGCCGTGGGCCCGGCCCGAGGCGTTTGGGTGGTTCGCGAAAAGGAAGTGAAACTGTCTTCGCGTTCTGTGCGTTGTCCCTCGGGTGGCAACGCTGCTCGTAGCCTAGTCTATTAGGGGTTGCATCATGGGGAGATGGGTGGAGTGAGTCAGAAGCACACCCAGCATACTAGCCTGTTTCCAGAAACAGGTGCCCCGGTAGGAGGTGGCTACGGAGGGTTGTGGTGCAGGCCCAGATTAAAGTCTTGAGAAGGAGATGCAAATCTTGCCTTCCATTTTGGAACTCCAGAGGGGATGCTGAATTCCTGCATTGACTTAAGTTCCGTTAGCTTTCCTCCTGTTTGGCTAGCGTCAACATAGTAATTAAGCATTAGAGTTCCTGAGTTCTCATACATTCTGGAATGTTTGTTTGTTTTTTGGTACTAGATATTGAACCTACGGCCTCACACTTGTCACTGAGCTACGTTCCTGTTTCTTTTTTATTTTGAGATAGTCTCTCTGAGTTGCCTGAGGCTAGCCTAGGACTTCCAAACCACCTGCCTCGGCCTCCAGAGTACTTGGGATTTCTGGGATGCACCACCACATTTGGCAGTTTTTCTACTTTTGATAGCTGTTGAGCTGAACATGATGGCACCTGCGTGTAATCCCAGTTACTCAGGAGTCAGAGGCAGGAGAGTTGTAAGTTCAAGGCCAGCCTGGGCATCTTAGTGAGATCCTAGCTCAATATAAAATAAAAATGGGGTGGGAGTGTAGTTCAGTGGTAGAGCAACCATGGGTTCAACCCCTAGAACCAAGGGAAATTAAAAATCTCATTAAAAGTCTCCAGTTCAGGGCCGGGATTTAGCTCAGGTGGTTCTGCTGCCTTCCTCCCAAGTGCACGGTCCTGAGTTTGATCCCTGGTACCCCCCAAAAAAAGGTCTCCAGTTATGATAAATTAAAGGTCTCATTATTGTTTTACTTGTATATTTGTTTCAGATACGTATTGAAAGCACCATATTCTTTTTTAAATTATTTTTATTTTTTTGGTACCAGGGATCGAACTCAGGACCTTATGCTTGTGAGGCAGGTGTCAAAACCACTGAGCTAGATCCTTGGTCTCCCAAAAACACTGTATTCTGATGATAAGAATGGTGAAAAACAGTGAGCGGGCTGCTGTGTGCCAGACACTAACCTAAGCTTGTTTCTCAAAAAAAATTTCTTTTTGCAATTTCAGAATAACACCTTCAGATTGGTCCTCATAGCCCCCATTTTACAGATGAGTGTAGTCTTCAAGAGCTGAGACCCAGGAGTGAAGTTTGTACTCATTTATTAGTTTTTTCAATTATGTCATCCTCACATCACATTTAATCTCTGTAGTGCTCCGCCTCCCCCATTTTGTTCTGACAGGGCCTTGCTATGTCCTGTAGTCAGGCTGGCTTTGAGCACGCTATTTAGCCGAGGTTGGCCTTGGACTCATGGTGATCCTCTTGCCTCAGCCTCCTGAGTGCTGGGATTACAGGTGTGCGCCACCACACCTGGCTCTCTGAAGTGCTTTTGGTAAGACACTTTCCTGTGTTTGGTCACTTCTGTCAATAAAGATCTGAATGGCTTTTATCTGCAAGAGTGTGTTGAGGTTGAAATCTTGCAGAAGGACTATAAATTGCTTGATATTTGGTAAGTTCCCACTTTCTATCTGAGGATGATTTCAACTGGTTTCAATTTTAGCTTTATAGGCAGAGATTGTCTGAAAGCCTTTTTTTTTTTTTTTTTTTA